TGTATTATATATAAGATTGTATTATATATAAGATCGTATTATACATGAGATCATATTATATATAAGATCGTATTATATATGAGATCATATTATACACGAATAAATACGGTATGTTGTTTATGAGACAGAATTGTTTTACAAGCCAAACAATAAAACACTGGCACTAGCCATTAGCCTAGCCTTGGCAAAATCATTTTCTAATTCTCAATACTTTGTGCTCTTTTCTAATGTCTTGGTTGAAACTGTMCATACTACACAAAAGAATACCACTTTAAAGTAGACTGAACTATCCCATTCAGGTCCTGAAATCACAGATAGACGTGTTTTAATGTCTGATGTATTTGAAAGGTCACTTTTGTATTAACACAACTTTTCTGACACAACTACTCAGGGTTTGAGAGGACTGGTTGGAGCTCCTGGGCCGAGTGGTGTRAAAGGCAACAAGGTTTAATCCTCCTCCCCACTGCTTTATACATTCTGCTCATAAAACAAAAATACATTCCTCAACCTTAGTAAACTGAGCTGATATGAATCATTCAGAGGGAAATGATCAGAGGTTTCCCAAGTTWTTTTCTTATTTCTGTAGACATTAGTTAGCTTACTCATTTGTTGAAGAAAGTCATATACACACTTCACTTGTCTGTAATCACAACTTTGATTGTCACAGATATGAACACATGCTTTCAGTCCCACATGAAACACAATGTCATGGTTTTTCTGTAGCCCACAATAAGTACACACATTGGCTCATATGTGATGGCAACTGGTTTAATAACACATGAGGAAAGTTCTAATGAGTCTTTTGACTGGTGTTTGTTTTGCTGTGTGATTTGTGTCACAGGGAGAGAGAGGCCTTCCTGGATTACCTGGTGATGCAGTAAGTACCAAAATACAGTGAAACCGTAAGAAATGACCTGTCAGTTACAAACAAAACAATGAAATTTGCAGAGACAATCAGAAAGAAAGTTTATTTTTAGGTTTAGATGTTGCTCAAACAATAGATAAAAGTGGTGGTAATATGCAGAAAGCTCCAGAGGATTCTGATGTCATCAGTCCATGAAATGGTCGTTATTAGGGGTTATCAGTCCCATACAATGGCTTCAGAGGGTCCCTACTGTGCCTTCTAGGCTTCAGATTGTCCCAACAGTGCCCCCTAGTGGGTTAATATATCAATGACAATGAATGTGTAAATAACCAAAACATATTGTAATAAATTTTTTGTCGGTCTCAAACCCTGGTCTCCTGCTCTGACACATTACCCTATTGGAAGCCCACAACATATAACCATTGGAGGCCTGTGTCTTTAACGCTAACCATGTCCTTTGCTCTAAAGTTAACCTTAGTGGCTTTAAAACTCATATTAACCAGATAGTGGTTTTATGCTTCATTTTAACCAGCTGATAATCAGAAGCCATTCTATGGGAYGGGGAACCTGCTAACAGGCACAGTAGGGACCCTCTGAAGCCATTGTATGGGACTGATAACGCCTAATAACGTCCATTTCATGGATGATAACATCCAAAGCGGGTGAAAGCTCACATTCACATCAAAATTAGTCATTTTAAATAAAAATATTTTAATATAAAGGTGGAAGACATTTTGAATATGTTTTATTTTTTCCAGTGAATTATGTTTTCTGATATAAAGACTTATAAAAGAAAAGGTTACTTTTATTAGATATGGAAAGTCAGAAAGACATTTTTTAACTGTGCAATGAAGCAGTTTAGCTACCAGTTATATTTAGTGTGCCTTAATGTTATCACAACAATTTACTTAATGCTTGCACCTTGATAAGAAAATTACATCATTATTACATTCTTTCTTTTTCTTAATGTTTCAATTCTAGGTACAACAAGAAGGCATGCGGGGTGAGAGGGTAAGGAACTGTTCAACAATTATACAACTTTCTTAAGCAACWACAGCTAAGTTTATTTAAATACTACTGTGTTTTACTGTAAAAATCACATATTAGTCACAGTTTGGTATGTTCTTGGAAGTAAAAGAAGTAAAAGATGTATTTTTTAATTATACAAGAAGCAAAATAATGTAGCATCTGGGGCAAGATCGGACCCAAGAATGCAGGGAGGCACAAGTATGGGGTGTCGTTTGTAAAGTTACACAGTCAAAAATTACCACCAATATTTTTGTTTTATTTAGTCTTTTATAAGAAAAAAAGAACAGATTTA